TAGTATCTCATCAATATATTTATAATTCAATTATGATACCACATGTATTTATTACTATTAAACCCAATCTTCCATTATTTGCCCAACTACACTAAATAGATTTAAATCCTTTAGTAAAGCAGCAGCATCTCTTCACAGCTAATAACACCCAAAACCTTAATATCATCTGCAAATTTAAGTAACTTATTGACCATTCCTTCATCTATATCATTGATGTAAATCAAAAATAACAAAGGTCCCAAGGCTGAGTGTACCTTACTTATGACATTAATCCAGTTTGACTGAATTTCATTTATAACAACCCTCTGCTTTCTTCCATCCAGCCAATTTTCTAACCAATTAACTAACTTATCCCCAACACTTATACAGATACTTTTTTTTACAAGTCTTTTATGTGATACCTTGTCAAATGCATTCGGAAAATTTAGATGCACCAAATCTACACCCTTACTCTCATCTACATAAGCAGTAACCTTTTCAAAGAATGTCAAAAAATTTGTAAGACAAGATTTTCCTTCAGTGAAACCATGTTGATTATCCAATCAAATTCTAAACTTTATTAAATGACTTTGCAAAGCATCTTCATCACACTTTTCAAAACTTTTCCCACAACTGATGTAAGACTAAATAGGCCTATAATTACTGGGACAAGTTTTATCACCTCCCTTGAAAAGAAGAGTGACATTAGCTAACTTCCAATCCTCTGGCACCTGCCCCACTATTCAAGGACTATTCAAATAGTAGCAAGTAGCTAATATATCCAATCCTTGACCTCCTTCAAAACCCTTGGGGAAATATAATATGGCCCAGGAGCCTTATCATTCTTTAAACTTACCAATTATTTCTTCACAATCTCAAAATTAATGCAATCATCTTGTTTCCATCTGTTCAAGATGAGGAATACTACTGAAATCTTCATTAGTAAACACTGAAGAAAAAGCAGAATTTAATAACCCAGCAATCACAGATGATACTAATGCTCCCTTCTACCACTGAACTGATCGCACAAATAACCTCTATTTATGTTAGCCTTCCTTTATCATGCCTCAAGGGTTATACCCCATCCTAACATTTTGTTTACCCTTAGTATATTTAAAGAAATCCTTCCTGTTATTTTTTACATTTTCAGCAAACCTTTCTTCATGCATCCTTTCTGATGTCCTAATTTCCTGTTTCACCACTTTCTTAATATTCTGTAATCTTCTAAATCATCATACCAGTCAATTGAAATTTCTTAAATTTGTGATGCTTTTCTTCAATTTTATTGTGAGCCAGCCTGGTTTTTTATTTGCAGCTACCCTTTTCTTTCTATAAGGAATATGTTAACCTTGAATATCTAAAAATTTATTTTTAAAATTTTCCGCATCTGATCAGTGTCTCCAAATAACTCAGCTGCCCAATTCTTGTTGCATCCCTTCAAAATTCGCTTTTTTGAAATTTGTAACCAAATTATCATTATTCCTTATCTCCATATGCAGAAAAACATTGAACCTAATAGAGCTATGATCACTTACACCCAGATGTTCCCCAATTTACACCCTCTCAATCATTTCTGTATTTGAACTTAACAATAAATCTAAAATTGCATTGTTTCTACTAGGTTCCTTGACTAATTGGTGAAGAAAGCCATCTTGAACAGTTTCCAAAAACCTTTCTCCCTCACAGTTTGACATTAACATTTCTCAATCTATATACCTGAAATTAAAATAACCCATAATTATGACTTTATTAAAAGCTAAAATCATAATCTCATTGTAAAGTTTCTCACTAATTTCATCAGTATCATTTGGTGGTCTGTAACAAATTCTCACTAAAAGCCTTTTTCCTTCATATCTGCTAATAGAAACCCAAATGAATCCAATCTCCTTGCTATTATTTTTGGTATCCTCAACTCACATTTTACATATAAAGCCCCTCCTCTCCCTTTCTTTAGTACTCTATCCCAATTAAATAGCTTGTAACCCTGTATTTCAACGAAACGTCTATCAAAATCATCTACGTTTAACTGTGTTTCAGTTATTCCCATTATATCAAAATCCTCCATTGCTATCCAAGTTTCAAAGTAATCTATTTTATTTCTTATACCTCTAGCATTACAACAGTAACAATTAAGCCTTCCTCTCTATACTCATTTCCTATGCTAAACTTCTACATATAGTTTTTTTTTGGCATTTAGTTTATATTGGCCCTCACCACTCTCTAGTCCTAGTTAAAACTTTCCTTACAGCTGAATTAATAGCCATAGTAAAACATGCCAGCCCTATCCTATTTAAATGTAAACCATCCATTCCAAAAAGCTCCCTTCTTCTACTGAAATGATCCCACAAATCCAACTAGCCAACCTGCTCATCCTTACATACTAATCTAAGCCTAGCATTTAGCCCTGGTTACCTACTAATAACTTCATCCCCACAGTTAATTCTCATCAGTATCCCGACACAATTAGGTTATGCCCCTTTTCTTTAAAGGCCTTCACCAACCCCTTGTATTTACGAGTTAGTTCCTCTGACCTACCTTTTCTTACATCAATAGACCCTCCTTGCATCACTGCTAGTCCCCTTTATTATATCCCTTGCCCTATCAGTTATATCCTCCACATGTTCTCCTGGGTAGCATAAAGTACTTTTTTCTTCTTATTTACCCCCACATACTATTCTGTCCACATGCCTTGTCAAGGAAT